TGCTAGAGCCGAGCGAGACCCGCCCGTCCATCTCCGCCTGATGCCCTCACCTCGCTCGTCTTGCCTTGTGAGATGATTGACTTGCACTTTGGGCCTTTGAACTTAGCGCAGTGAGGTGGTTGTGATTTTTCTTTTTCCTATTTGCTGCGGCTCGGGAGGCAAGCGTGACTTGTCAGGGCAGTATGTTCCCCAAATGGGTATTTTCTTTTTTCTCTGTTGACTGTACGGTGCTGCGTACTTACCAGTGTCTGCACATAGCGTTTCCAAGTTTGAGGTCTGAAACTAATAAGGCTAAACTCTATTTGTGCCTATGATTTATTTTTTTTGGAAGTGTATTTGTCATTAAAGGTCGGTTTAGCTTGAGGAAATAACGTTATGTTGGACAAGTATAATTTACTTGCTTTTAAACTCCTAATCTGAGAGCAGTTGTTGGTCATAATTGGTTACCCTGAAACCTAGACAGGTCTTTAAAAATCCCCTTTTGTATAAAGAGAACTAGGTACTTACTTGTATCTCAACAGGGTAATGTAAAAGTTTTTTCCTACACTTTTAAATTGATAAAATTGGATGTTGATACTTGAAATTTGCTCTTCAAGATGTATTTTTCACAACTCGAGACATTCTGCTGGCTGTTGATGGAAGGTGACAGAACTCCTTAGCTGTTAGGACTGGAGGAAAAATGAGGAATATGCAGTACTCCAGATCACAAGCTTCAGTCACACAAGATGATGTTAGAAGTATGACAGATACTTAGAGTTTTAAAAATAGCTTGCGTAATAATGAAATTATTTTTTTTTACCACTTTTCTATGTGCACTTACTGGTGGCTCTTTATATGTACAACATTCCAGTTCAAAGCGTATTATATACATTATGTTAACATATATACACTATATTAACATATATTAGCACATTATATACATCAACTGCAACAGCACAAGCTCTTGGATGTTTTGCCTATGATCGGTTCCAGTGTTCCTGCCTGTGGTGAAGACTGCCAGCATCTGCTGCTTCAAAAAGAAAATTAAAAATGTTCTGGGAAACTGTGGGTTGCATCTTACCTGCGTATTTTATCTTATGCAAGCATAGGTGTTACACGTTTAAATGTTAGATCTGAGTCTGTTACTAAACTCAGGGCCTGAATGATATCATAAAGTAATGCGTACCGCAGGCTTACATGAATTCTAAAGAAAAGTATTAAAATAATCTTTATTTTTGATGACTGTATTTTTAAAAATTTGTTGATTTGAACGGATATGTAGAGCACTTTAGACAATTGTGCTTTGTCATCTCCTTCTTAGATCTTGCTAAAGGTCTTGCAGGTCTTCAAAGTCCCAAGGTAATTAATCCCTCCCTGTTGACATGGGTGGTTAATTGAGCAGCGATAATGGCTGGTGACTGGCTTATTTATCAGAACTGCTGAGCTAGGTGAATTGGAGTGACGAGTAGGGAATGCTGGAGGAAGTTTTGAGGGTGAGCATTATTTCCACTGGAGATGACCAGTATGGGTAATGAGGGAATAACTAATGTAACTTGCCCTGGATGTGCCGGATCTTTCCTTTCCTGTGAAAACTCAGTTCTTGCAGGCAGTGCGCTCTGCTGACCATGCTGAGAGAGAAGATGCATGATCTGGGAGCTCTAGGCTCAACTCTATGCTGTGGATAAGAAGAGAAAACTTTCTATGAAACACCACTCTGGGAAGTTTCTGCTTCCCCTGGTTATGTACCAGAAGGGGAAGGATCTGGAGGGGAATAGGAATAGGAGGGTTGATTTGGCAGACTTGATAACGAGTGGGGGGAAAAGGAGAATAGATGTTCAGTAAACAAGAGTGGACTGGTTATCAGCGAAGTTGAATTAACTTGTCTCAAAAAGGTTTTGGCCATCTAAACAGTGCTTTTACTTTTCTGAAGTTTGCGGCTCTTTAATAGTGGTTTAATAAACGATGTGGCAGTTCCAAACTAAGAAAGCAGATGGCAAAATTCCTGAGTTCATCTAGCTCACTGAAGTGGAAAATACAATTACTGGTTTGAGCTGCAGATAAATCAAAAAGGTGGGATTAAGAATGCGTTGACTCATCTGCAAATGGTACGGAGTTCTAGTGAAAGTTGGTCACAGAGCACAGGGAGTGACCTAGAGAGAGAGAGAGAGAGGAGTCATCTTTTAAAGGCTGACCTGAATGGTCTGTTATGGGGACGTCAGATCAGTTACGATGCCTATGCCCTCAGTGATAAATTAGCTTCCAAAGACTGTTGAAAACTTCGCAGCACTAGGGAGTACCCACAACATGTGCATAATTTAAGCTTTTATTTTGGATCTCGTTAGAATGAAAGAGTTGCTTGCTGAACTGAAAATTGTTTGCTTGGTTTCTTGGCACCGTGATGTGGTTTATTTCATATTGGTTGGGACTGACCTCTCTCCTCCTACAATATTGAGCTTTGGGTTTGGGGTGGGTGGGTGGTTGTTTGTTTGTTTTCCCTGAAATTACTGTTTTCTGTGAGGAATAGTGGAGAAAAAAATGAAGGGTGGTGAATTCTGAAATCTTTTTGACGAGCAGGTAAGCTGGATGCAAAGGATTGAGAGTTGGGTGATGGTATTATTCTGCTGGTATTTGTTCTCCTCAAACTCTGAAATATCTGGCGATCTCAGAAAACTGAAACAGTGCTAATGTTTGAGTTCAGACTCTCAGGTGAACTTCAAGCAGTAAATTAAGTCCCCATTCTGAGGGTATCACTACTGATAGGTATCTGCTGGCTTTACTGGCTTAACCCGGATGTTCATCTACGTATACGTGACTTTTAATTAACACATCTCTTCAGTATCTTTTGTACTTGATAGTCACTTGAAAGAATGACAAGATTATCTAACTCTGTACAGTCTGGTGGCTCAAACTGTTCTGTATCCAACTCGATATTTGGAAATCTGCTTTGAATTTCTGTTGAAGAGATGTGGGGTAGAGAAATACTACTTTTCAAGTAGAGCTTTGCAAGTCTACTCTTGGCTGTTAACATGTTGTGGGTTTTTTTAAGCCCACCAAAATTGAGTAGTTACGCTCATAAAAGTTATATTTTGAGCAGTAAAGCCACCTTTCAGTTCTTTATGCAAATCACACCTGATCAGAAGTAATAAAAACCCATGACTAAAATTCTGGTAGTTTCTCAAGGTAATTTTATGTGAGAAGAGTAATCAGTAACGTTTGTGACTCTGAGTCATCTTTGGGTTTCTTACTTTTGTATTTTAGCTTGGTTTATTCCTCAGCTGAAGTAGGAAAATAATGAATAATCGCTGGGTTTAGGTCAGAGCAGCAGATTGTTTGCCATGCAAAGAAAAAACCTGATTTCACACTGTCTGTTTCTGATTGTGTGGATAATCTGTTTCTTTTAGGCAAATCCTTGGAGTTGTCTTTTATTCTATGCTTCCTGTAGAGTGAGATTTTTCTTAGCTTTGTTTGTCTCAACACCGAATACTGAAAGATACTTAAATACCAGTAATGTTATTGTTGCATTTTTGTATTTCCTTGGTTTGGCGAATATATGTTTTGGTTTGTCTCTAGTTCAACAAAAGGCCAGCAGGAGGAGCTTTCAGTTTCCAGAAAGGATGGGAAGATTTGAACTCTGATTTTGCAAATAGTTAAGATGCATGGTTAGGATGTTTGTCTGAAGTCCTTGCAAAGAGATAGCAGCAGTCGTAACTTCGTTACCCTGCATGTGAGTGTGGGAGGTGGAAGCTAGGATTTAAAATTATTTGAACAAAATGCAGGCAAGTAAAAATGTGTAGTCCTACATTTCAGTAAGAATAATTGAATGCACAAATGTAGAATGTGGGGTGTGTGATTGAGTAGCCGTCCTTAGGAAGAAAATGTGCGGATTATTTTGGATCTGAAGTTGAATGCAAGCCAACATACACTATACAACAGGCAAGTGCTGTAGTGAATTGTAGGACTGTAACCTGCAGGGCAGAAAAATGGAATATAAGAGAACCCACCTCAACCTTTATTTTTCAGTTATTGTATAGACCCTGGTATTTCCTCAG